ACACACACACACACACACACACACACACACACACACACACACACACAAACACACACAGAGGAGAAAATTTCGCGGAACAATACAGTGCAAGCTGCGGATTTCACGCGCTCAAACACTATCAAACTGACAAGATCGTTCTCTGTCTATAGCCCATGGGAGAAATGAGGAAAGTTTGTGCAAAGTGCCTTTCCCAAGGATACAACGTCGGGCCCCTGACGGGATTCGAACCCACGACCTTACGGTTACGAGTCCGAGAGCCTAACCACTAGGCCACCAACGCCATTTTATAGTTATGTCGATCAATTTTCCAGCAAACTGAGACCTCAGTTCATTTCAATGCCAATTCCCAAAATGAACTTAACGAAATGAAAAGTGGGCCCAAGAACGTAAAGAAGCAGAGCGTGGATAAAAGGCTGGTATGTCCACATGACAGCCAACAGTGTGCAGTGAGACAGTCGCGATACGCACAATGTCACGCACAATCTTGGTCAAGATTTTGGCTTTCGTTGTTACTCTCATAGGTAAGTGATGCTATCGGACTTTCTCACTTTGCTTAAACTGAGAGAAAGTACATGTATTCTATAGGCTACTTATAGCTAAACATTTCTTTTAAGGTGTGCAAACTCTAGTCTCCTTTGGAATATGGCGTAGATTTTCTTGATGACTGATTTCTTGTTTCCCCTAAGCTTCTTTTTTAACTATGTGCAAAGTAATAAAATGTGGCCATTGGTTCAGAAAGAAAATCGAGTCGGGAAATGTGTGTGTGTATGAGTGAGGGGGGGGGGGGGGGGGGAAAATTCCCCCCTAAGCCCTTAAAACCCATAGGAAATAAGTTTGGTATCCCCAAAAGGAATAAGCAGATCTAATTCGTACCTTCAAATTAGGGACCCCCGTTTGGAGAAAAATTGCATTCCTCCTCACTGTATTTTGTTTTTAAAAATTCCTCTTGTTTTCTTCCTTTCTTCCCTCCGTGAGGCATGTAGATGTGTTTCCCATCGCCCACTTCTACATGCTATTATGTGACATCTATGTTATTTCGCGCTCTAGATGTGTGAAAACCACTCTCACACAGTTATCTTGTATGTAGAGATATATGTATATATAAAGTGTGTTGTCTCTCTATATATATATATATATATATATATATATATATATATATATATATATATATATATATATATATATATATATATATATATATATATACAGGGGCGGTTTGTTAACTGGGCAAGACCGCGCGGTGCCGGTCAGATTTTTGTCAACTGAACTGTTGACTAGAGGTTTATTGCTGGTGACGATTTTCATTCAGTTTTAAGTAAATCAAAACAAACATGTATCAACATTCAAAAACACATTGCCGATTTGAAGGCGCTCAAATAGACAAGTGGGATTCACTGCTGTTTTGTCGCGACATAACCTCATTCCTTCACGTTTGTTATCGCGCCGGCTCGTAACTTTAAATCGTGTCCCGTCAAACCGTCACGTCGCGGAACCTCGTACTACGAACGAGGCCAAACACACAGCGGGCTTGGCTTAAGCCTAGCGATGACGTCAGTCCCATGGACAAATCCATCGTCAGCCCACAGAAAGATTAGTATATCCCTTAATTGCCAGATTGGCCTGTTTGTAGCTTACAAAATTAAGAATGAGACTGTCTTGAGCGGCACAGACACATGTATTAGTTTATCAGCAAAACATGTATTTATCATTCAGCCTTTCTCTAACTACTACACTGTATCAGAACATTTATTGTCAGCAAGGCACTACTCTTTTTACTTTATTGACTTTTAAACCACCTATAGTTCCTGTTTGCCATTTACTCATCGTTTTCTCCCCACTAATAACTTACCTGGCCCTTAGGAGTCTGGCCGGCGAAAGAAGGAATCGTCTAGTGAAGATATATAAGGAAAATTTTAACTAGGAGCGATAGACACTCGGCTGTCAGATTCTGGGCCGAAAACTCCCTCCCTTCCCTCCCCTTTTCAGCCCTCATCCCAGCTAGACACCAAGTTCTATAATTAGCATTTGACACACTTCCCCACTTAGTTACAACACATTGTTCAGTTCTGAGAACTGAGAAGTGCGACGAAGTACATTTGATGATATAATGATCGGAAACGTGTGTGCTTTGTACAGCTTTGTATAGCATCTGGTTGTAGACTTGATCTGCTTGGGACAGCGTCACTGGTACAGTAGCAATTGACTTTTTGTCATCATACAGGACAGTTCTTATTACATATATTTAACGGGTTCAGTGCACGTCGATATTTTGTGTGTGTGTGGGGGGGGGGGGGGGAAAGTACGAGTAAAGTACTGGTACTGG